TATGTGAAAAAATTGAGAGTAGTAAAGGTGACCAGAAATTTTAACTTCTTTCTTCTTAAAACTTTTCTAAATGTCTTCAAATTCTATGTATTTGTTGGGAAGGAAAGAATTGGTAGAATAGGCAAAAGTATTTATAAAGTTATTATTTAAATTTCTATAATATACTCTTCCCAATAATTTTTTTATTTATTTTTTTATTTTTTAAAATCATCAATAACTATGCTTTCATGACATCATTTTTTCCTAAACAATGAATATTTTTACAATAAATTTCACCCTAAGATAAATGTAAGACCGAACTCATGTATTACATGAGCTGGTTTCGAGTCGAGCAGAATTTTTTTTCTTAACTCATAGGGTTTGGCCCAACCAGAAACCGGCAGGCTCGCTGATTTTCGAGAATTTCCATCAAGACCGAACCCATTTTTTACTATTTGTTTCTTTTTGTTTTTTCTTTCCAACCGTTTACTGCAAAAAAGAAAACCATACCCATCATGTTCAACCCAAAACTGGTGGATCAAGCACTTAATTTGAACATGAGGGCCATGAATCGGAACTACCAAATAGTCGAGCCAGTTCCAGTTCGAGAGTTTGTAATCGTTGACCCCGATGACCATGTCTACTTTTGTAATAACCGTCTCACGGTGGTTAAGAATGTCGGATCAACACACACGCCTATTTAACAATATCGTCGTAATGAAAAAGTCAGCCTATGTAATTAGGCTCCGATTACATGTAAGATTTCTTTTTTGATAATTTTGTCACCCAAAAAATCAGATGGAAAAGGTGAAAAAAAAGGAATATTACTGAAAGAAAATAAATTTGAGATTTTGAATAAATATATGATGAAACATGATAATTAATATTTATATGATATAAATATAATAAAATATTAATTAATAATAATTGATAGTAAAAATATGTGAGTCAACAAATTGTAGTTTTTTGTTGGAAAATATATCTCAATTATTACTTTTTTAGTTTTTAACTACTACTATTTACTCGTGCACATACACGCAGACCGGGGAGAGGATTTATTTGAGCAGTCGCTCCATTCACGCAGCCAGAGGAGAGAAAAAAAGAACGCAGCAGTCACAAAGAACAATACAGATACGCGAGAAGACGATAAATCGCGGAGAGAAGCCGCACCCGCACACGAAAGGGGATAATTCTATTCTCTTTCTTTTCTTTTATTATTTATTATGTTAGGCTAGGTTTTTCTTTCTAGTTCCGGGAAAGTCGAACCCTACGATTGACTATGTTTTGATTGATTTTTTTAGTTGATGATTTTAATATCTTATTGAAATTGCTTGTGTTATTTTGAATAATTAAGCATGATGTGTTAGTCTTGTTTAGATTGATCACCTAGATTAGACTTTTCATATCTACATCTGATTAGACCTGCAATTCGTAATTGTTGTTGTGTTTAATTCATAAGGGGTAACCGGAAGATGGTAACTACCGGGGATAACACAACCTATTTAAGTGAACGAACGCAGTTGAGTTCACTACTTAGTCTAGCCTATTTTTCTAATTCGTAAAGCGGCTAATTGTATTAAATCTTGAAAACGTTTTTCTGGACTGTACAAGAAGTTAGGTTTAATCGTCGAGCGTCTCGCGGTTGAATTAAAATTAAGGAAAAATTCGCGTAACAGACCGTGTCGTTTCCTAGGGCTAGTAATTTCATGAGATAGCAAGATTTGATACTAAAATTGATTAGACGAGTCAGTCGAGGATGTGGACGGAACCGTGAACTAGAAAGTTCTCTTCATTTATTTATTTTTATTTTTATTTTTTTGTTTAGATTTTATTTATTTCATTAGATTTTTAGGTAGTTTAGTTATTAAATCAAAACCCCCCCCATTTATCGCTTTTTATAATTTCAATTAATACGAGAAAATTCACAATTTGATTCACACTCCTCGTGGGATCGACCCTTGCTCGTCACTACTACTAATTAGTAGATGTTAGTCGAGGAAAATATAAATTTTAATTTTGCCGCGTTGCGACGCGCGGTGAATATTTAACTAATTTATCATTAAAATGAAATAATGATTTAATAAATTTTTTATTTAACTTTCGTTAATTTCATGAAGGATAAAGAATGTGTAGATAGAAATGAAGAGAACAAAAAATTTATTGAATGTGATAAATTAAAAAGGTATATATTTTTTCTTATCATTTTTTATATATATTTTCTTTTGGCAAGAATAATTCTCGCTCGGTAGATTTTAAATTCTGCCTCCGGCAGAGAGTCGTATGCCATCCCAATTTCCATGTTTGGTTGAAAGTATCCTCATACACATATAATTTGAAGAGTTTACTTAGTTGATTGTTAGAAGCTCATTCAAATTATTATTTGGCAACTAATTAGATATTGATTTTTCGATATATACATAAGAGAAAAACATAAAATTTGTATACATTACAGTTATAATAAATAAAGCTTTACGATCCCAGTAAGGATAAAAAGTAGGAGAAAAATGTAACAAATGATAAAAAAAAATATAATAATATGTTAAATGCTTTTTTTTAAATATTGTTCTGTAATTTATTCAAAATATATCATAAGCTGAATAAATAAAAAGAAAATCAATCGTACACTAAGAGTGTGATTGTTTACGAAAAAAACCAACCAAAAAAATTCAATCACAACTCAAATCTAACTAAAATATAACTCAAATCTTCTATCATCAATATTATTAATATAATTAAATAATATTAATAAATCATTCATACACATCACATCAATTTTAACTCTTTATTCATTTATTCACATAATTTTAAATACTTATCACTTCCAACCATATCTTTTCTATTTTTACATAAAATCAACTTTAGTTATTAATTTTATTTTCAATATTATTTTAATACACACTCAAAATCTTACTCAAACCTAATTCAATCAATTTTTTCATAAATAACTATAGTCAACCAAAAAAATCAATCAAAACCAAATTAATCTATAAACAACAAGCACACCTAAGGCCGGGGTGCTTTATAAAAATTTATTAGCCTTTTGGGTTGATTTATTTGGTTAACAAGAGTTAACTTTAGAAAACTTGGTTTTGTTGGTTTAATTGAGATTTTGAGTTTGTATTAATATAATATTTAAAATAAAATAATTAAAATTTGATTTAATGTAAAAATAGGAGAAATATGATTGGAAGTGGTGATTAGTTAAAATTATGTGGATGAATGAATAATGAATTAAAGTTTATGTGATGGTTGTACCGAAACAAAAAAAATTATGTGATTGTAAGAATGATTGATTGATATTATTTAAATAATGTTGAAAATAGTGAAATTAAGTTAGATTTTGAGTTACAATTGATTTTTTTTTTGGATTAATTTGTATTCAATATATTCCAATCACCCCTTCATCAGAGAGAGAAATATATAGTGCCCAACAATTGATAATGTTAAGGCGGCAAATATGGCGTGTAAACATTACCCTATATAAAGGACTCCTGTGTTTATATTCTACCTTGATTATGAAGTCCTCATTTACATTGTAGAAAATGAGGTTTGAGTTGATGGTGTTTAGAAATCTCTGCATAATGGTATTATTATTATGCATAATTTACTGAGGAACCAATAGATATGTGACACCTGCCAAACCATTTTGGGCATAACCAGCTGCGAATTATTTTTTTAAAAAAAAAAAAAAACTGCTAATTATAATCATGTCAAAGTATCCAATGATTCAAGAAAGAACATGCATGGTTAGAGAAGATTTGAATAAAGTGTCAGGATACATATGACCTACGCAGAAGATAACTATACACAAACCTCATTTCATGTGAGATTATTCTTATATAATTGCACAAATTTTCAAGTTTAAAAGTCTAACTTATTATAATTTTAATTTTCAAACTTTATTATATAAATTTTAATGTTTATACATGTCTATTTTAACTTTTATACTTCTATAATATTTGTTTAATTGAAATTAAAAGTACTTTTTATAATTCAACAAGTCTAAAAAACTAGAAACAGTTATTGGAAGATAGAAATTCTGGTCAACTTTTTTGTTTCGATACTACCTGAAATTAAATTTATCAGCGAATTTTGCCAGTCCTTTCCTTCCACAAGGTATTCACAATAGCCCCTTAAGAGCTTATTTATATTTTTTTATGTTGACCATAACATACAATAAAGCTCACTCAATTAAAAAGTACTCACTAATAATAGATATTATTCTCTTAATAATGTGGATGTAAGTAACATGAAGAAGAGTGGTTGGAACATCTTTTCGTTGCCATTTTATAAACTATGAGATATTAATTGCAACTCGAGTAAAGATTAATTTGCTAGTTGTAATATTGAATATTGATATCAAATGCCAATGAATTTTAATAAGATCAACCATATTTCTTATACTAGCACGGTTCTGAGTTTCCAGATGGCTTGTCCATTAGGTTTAAAAAAATAGAGTTAGATCATCTATTTTACACATCTTTTAATCATTGTTATTTTTTTAGTCATAACGTTAAACCTCAACCTATTAGCTCTAGTATGTAAATTAATTATTAGCTCTAGTATGTAAATTAATTAATATATTATCTCGCTAAAACGTTGATACTAATATAAATTTGATTTTAGTATATATATTTGTTCTTTAATATAAAAAATAATAGTTTTACATATTCTGGTATAATACTTAATTTATTATTTTATCATAAAATTTATTGTCATTATAATTTTTTTAATAAATATTTTAGAAAATAAAAAAAAAAAATCTATCTATTTACAAACTCATTATCTCGAGTTTGAAACCATAAATTTTATTGTTAAAATAAAATTTGAAAAATTTTAACTTGTAATCAGAGATGAATTTATATTGATTTGAAATTCCTAATCCATCTCAAATTTATTTTGTGAAAAAATGCTATCCAAAATGTTTATACCAAGAGTCCTAATATTTTTAAATTGTAAAAAGTCTTCATGCAAAATATCTCAACTGACTTTGGCGGACCACAATATCGTATTTGATTCAACAAATTAATTAATTTTAGGAAGTGAATAGGTGTGTATGTATGTGGAAGATATTTAAAAATTCAAAATCCAAAACCAATATCGTATGTAATGGGTTTATACCAAGTTCCCAATTTTTTCAAAATTGTATAAATCCTTCATGCAAGGAATCTTCACTAATTTGGGGACTAACAAATTACTTAAATTTAGGAAGGCATAAATTGTGTATGTGGATACTGTTTCTGTTGTATGTTTAAAGAAAATAAATTCAAAAATGGTATTGATATGAGATTGTATTATGAGGGATTTAACAAAATACAAATTTTTAGGATACGATTTGATTTGAATTTTTCAAATTAAATTCCACTTTTTTAGGCCGCCTAAGTCAAATGATGATAAGGATTAAAGTTAAAAAAAAAAGAAAAAAAAATCAAAGTAAGCAATTAATGTTGTCCTAAAATTTCTAGTTACTATTTATGGTAAATAGTAATTCTTATTATATATATATAGATTTAGGATATGAACTTTGGCATTCACTTGGATTGTGTTTTTATCAATGACGCGAATGAGAAATGTACATATGGTAACTTTATTTTTGTTCTTCTTTATTTATTTTTCTAAAAGAAATATTTTATGACAA